TCGGAGCCCGAGTGGCACGGGGCCCATGGGGCCGCGAGGAGCCGACGGCCAGGGGGGCAGCGCGGAGCATGAGGGGGGGAGGGAGGGGGAGAGGTAAGGAGGAAGTGGAGGGAACGAGAAGACTTTTTAAACGACGCATGAACAATCAGATCTCGCATAAGTGTTGGAGTACAATACACCGCGCTGAAGGAAAGTACATAAGTCTAAAGCCACGCTGAAATAATGCAAATAACGCGAAAAGCGCCCCAGTGGCACATCTAGTGTATCATCGCAAAGACCATCCCCAAATAGCGCACCACGCACTATCAAAGCGCCCCGCTGGCACATCTAATGCACCATCTATGGAGTATTATACTCCACGTTGCAGTAAAGTACATAAAGCTAGAGTCGCGTTGGCACATATGCTGCACTTGCGCATTAGTCAGCCCTAAGCCCGCGCCAGAGCTAAACACCCGAACAATTCATGGCGCCCACCATGAAACCACAGCTGCAACTAATTACAACACACCTATCAAAGCGCCCCGTTGGCACATCTACTGCACCATCGCAATGATCATCCTTAAATAGCGCATCAGGCACTACCAAAGCGCCCTGTTGGCACATCTAATGCACCATGTCCTACGCCATGGCTGCAAGCATTAACTCATATGTCCTACCTGAGTCTATGGCATTCATAGCTAAGCGCATCCGTAGTGCCCGCCCGTTCCCTGCGTCGTCTTGAGGCTGCCCGTCGGCGGCAGGTACTCGATGTTTTGCTCCGCCACGTAGTTGTTGTGAAGCTTGGCGAAGAAGAGCACGCAGAGCTTGTGCCTCAGCGGGACCATCTCGTTGAGCGGGCGCGCGTAGCCCCTAAACCACGAGAAGGATTGCTCGGCCACCTGCGTGTTGATGCCGGTCAGGCGGCGGCTCAATCGCTTAATGTGGTACGGGTTGCAGGGGCAGCTGCGGGCGTGCCCCTTCGCATGCATCAAGTCGACGGCCCAGTACTTGATGTTCTTGAAGGCAGGCAACTTCTGGGCTGACACGTAGAAGGAGCAGCACCGATCGTAAACGAACGTGTTCACGTTGGGGTGCTTCTTGAGAGCGCGAGTCAAGGCTTCTGCCGCCACGCCGTTGCCCTCTGGGTTCTTCTGCTCGACTGCGGCAACGATGCGCCCATCAGGGGTGAGAACCATGAACCAGCCGTGGTTGTGGTGCATGTGGCGGGCTGCTTTGCTGCTGCTCTTGCACTGCGCCTTCTTCCGAATGGCCGCGGCGGACGCCCCCTTGCCGGGTGCAGCGGCAGACGGCCTCTTGCGCACTGGCGCGGCGGACGGCCTCTTGAGAACCACAGACTTCTTCTTCGCGGCGGGCCTCACCTTCAGGACGTGCTTCTTGATGGCGGTCTTGCGCACCCTCTTCATCGACCCCTTCGCCGCTGCTGGCCTCCTGCGCACGGCGCGCTTCTGCCTCTCCTCGTCGTTGCATTTCGTGAGAACTTTCTCGCGTCCGCCCCCGACGAGCACAGTGATCTTCTTCGGACGCGGATCGGGGAACACGTTCCTGTGGTAGTAGCTGTCCAACTTGGAGAAGGTATCGTCGGTGATCTCCTTGCCAATGATGATGCCGCGGTGCTCTTTGATCGGTTCCATCTCCTGCACAGCGATCAGGTACATCAGGGCGTCGAGGTGGAGCTTCCTGTAATCGGTCACGAATTCTTTGCCGTACCCGTCCTCAGCCTTGTCCGAGAAGGTCTCCTTGGTGACCCAGTCGATGCCGCGAGCGGTGGTGAAGGAACGGAACATGAGCTTCTCGTGGTACCTCAAGTAGCGCATGGTGAACGCCCTCTGGTTGCTCACGAAAACAACCCCCGACTGCTCGAAATCCGCCAGCGTCGCCGTATTGACCTTGTCGCCGCCGACCCACATGAAGTTCGGCCCGTAGGTGATCTCGCAAGTTTTGTTCGTGCACTTCCACGTCCTCACCGAGATCTCCGTGGTGCAGTGGAGGTCGTACAGCCTGCAGGAGATGTCGGAACGAGATGGCATGCCCGTGCTTTGCTTCAACTTGGCACCGCAGTGGGCGCACTCCCACAAATGCGTCTCGAAGGGGCCCTCTGTGTCCACAGCCTGCTGCAGACCAGGTCCTGGTTGGAACAGATCATCGGCACCCGCGGCTGGCATCACGCACGCGTCGTCCCCGTCAGTCGGCAAGCCCGCGTCCGCATGCACCGTCTTCAAGGAAAACCACTTCAAATCTCTGCCCTCCGCGAGCGCCTCCAGTTCGGCCATGCGCAACTGCATCTCCACTGAAGGAGCCGTCGGGCCCCAGAGCCCCACGCAACCGCCCTCCAAGATCCTGACGCCGTGGCAGTGCGCAGGCGCAGGCGCTGGCTGAACCTCAATGACGCCGTACACAGTGCCCTCGGGATTGTCGCGGCGGAAGACGCTGTCCATAGTCTCCTTGGTGAACTGAGGGATCTTTGTCGCATCGCGCTGGGAATGGTCCAGTTCGGATTCGTTGAACTCCTTGACCGTCATGGTCGCGCTCTCCTCGTCGAGCGCGGTCTTGGGAGACAGCTGTGCCCAATCAGCCACCGAGACGATGCAATTGACCACCTGGCGTTCGCCGCGCCCCCTCCGAACGACCGCCGTTCGTGAGTCGCGAAGCACGGCCCTTGCGAAGCGAACGTGCTGGTCCACGCGCGGCCACGACTTTATGTGGAATTGTACACCTGCGGCGGCGCTCGCCTCGGCCACGGCTACCGCCACCATCGCTTCTCCCAGGAAGTCCACCACCTTCGCGAGGAGCCCGTCGAAGAGGAGGACCTCGCTGATGCTTCCTGCCGTCCGCACAGCGCCCAGCATAATCATCAACGCAGTGTTCTCCATGTGCGAGAGGATGGCCGCGATCCTGCTGAAGACGGGGCTCGGGCGGTCGGCGTAGAGCACGTTGTACTCGGCGAACTCCGCGCAAGCGAGCAACAAGTGGGCACCGTCGATAATCTCGCTTGAGAGCTTCAGTATCCACGGAAGCTGCGTGGCCGGCTGAGAACCGAAGGAGGAGGGAGGGGGAACAGGGGAGGGGGGAGGGAGGTCAGGACGAGGGTTAGGAGGGAATGGGAGGAGATGAGGGGTAGAGGGAGGAGAGTTAGAGGAGGGAGGAGAGGAGGATAGTTAGAGGAGGGAAGGGGAGGAGGGAGAGGAGGGAGAGTAGGAGGGGAGGAGGGAGAGGAGGAGGGGAGGAGGGAGAGGAGGGAGAGGAGGAGTGAGGAGGAAGAGGTAAGTTTATCATGCGTGCAAGAACCGTAGAATAGCTTGATCAGCTCCACCTTGGCCTCGTCAATGGAGATGTCCAGGTACTGGGCAATGGCCTCGCGCCACTTCTTGTACTCGGCGCAGAACTTGTGGATCATGGGGAACCTGTTCTTGTTCCACAGACCGCGCTCCTGCAGAGCCTTCATGAACAAACGCGGGTGGCAACACGGAGAATCGCTCTCGATGTAGTCGGGGAAGGCGACGTCCCGTGCCTCACGAGTGAACTTCTGTCCACCGACCCCTCGGCACAACGAGCGTCCATATGGTAGTGGGATGTAGTAGTCCATGGGCAGAGTGACCGTCCGCTGGGCGCTGTCGTAGTGAGGGAGGCAGCGCGCGATGTACGCGTCGAGGACAGCCTGGCGCCGATCCGTCTTGCCCTTGGCGTACTCCTGCAACTCAACCAAAGAAGGCATCTCAACGCATCTGGTCTTTGTGGTAGACACACCATCGAACCGCGTCACGGGAGTAGTCAAGTGCTCCAGGATCATTGCGTACCACTCGACGCAGCCGCCTGCAACGAGCGTAGAAGTGTTGTCAATGTTGTCGAATGGATTGCCCCAGTCTTCCCAATTTTCGAACACATCCGCGCCGCCGCATGCCTCCCACGTCTGCATCATCTTCTCGTAGTTAACCATGAGTTTCCTCAAAGCGTTGGTGTCGCACTGCGTGAAGAGGCGCAGGTTCGACTTCCCGATGGCGGCCGTGAGGTTTTGCCACTTTGAGGCGCCCTTCTTCCCTGGCTTCCGCGTCCCAGGTATGCAGTCTACGTTCTCAATGAGGTACGCCTTGACGACGGCCTTCATGGGCGTGCTCGCGTGGGCCGACACAATCAAGTTCCTCTCGACCGCGTCTGTCGGCTGGCCGTCCTCGGGGGGCGGGTCGACGCCGCCGGAGAGCCTGGAAGCCAGCCAGACAAGATCCCTGTACATCTCCGTGCTCAATGCTTCGATGTTGTCCAGCATCACAAGCGAGTTGTGGGCCGCGTACTGCTTGGCGAAGGGGCGCAAGTACTTGTGAGCGAACCTGGCAGCGACCCACGGGTGCGACAGGAACTCGTCCAACGTGTCCTGTGGGATCTTCAAGAAGCGGCCCTCCTCGTGGCACACGTCCTCCTCATTGTGCACGAACGTCGCCTTCCCCATGCGGGAACATATGATCCGCCGCTCCAACTGCTCGCACAATTTCTTCCGCGACGTCCCTGTCTCCTCCAGAACTGGAATGTTCTCGTAATTCAGCTCCTGGTCCTTTTTGCATTCGCCGAAGGTCCTCTGCACGGTGAACCCGTAGTTGACGCGGCACGACAGCTCCTCCCCGACAATGAAGCGCTTCCATATGTCGGACACCATGTGGGCGTTGGCGTCGCACTCTTGTATGCGAACAATGGATTTGTTCCACGCTGCCCCTCCCGACTTCCGCCACTCCGACCGATCGTAGGAGACGCCGCAGTCGAGGTAGTGGGCGTTCGCTTCGCCGACGAGGTTCCGCTGCAAGGTGGCCCCCATGTGCTCGCCGCCCCCTCCGTGCCCGATCTTGAAGTTCATCTTGGCCGAGTTCACTCGCAGGAACGCCAATTTCAGCGACGCCAGCTCAAGTTGGAACACTGCCTCGTTCTTATAGTACAGGCCCTTCAAGAACACCGACAACTGCTCGTCCCACTTCGCGGCGTCGACCCCCGCTGCTTTAGCGTCCTCCTCCGACCAGAAGAACTGGTAGGGCACGCGCATGTAGCAGTCGTTCTCGGGACGTGGGGGGGCTAGATCCCAGTTGGAGTCCAGGTAGCAATCGGTGAACGTCACGCCCTGGGATCTGGGCTTGGGCGCGTCGCACGTCTTAAGGAAGAGCACGGTTAGGGGGGTGCGCGTCGTCCCCCTGTCCACTGCGGCCTTGAACGTGCACATCATGTCCACCGCCCTCAACGCCCAGTTGCCTTTCCATCCTTTGTTGTCGGTGGCCTTCTTGAGGGCGTCCGAATGCTCCTTCGCGCCGTTGCAGAGCGTGGCGAGCGTCACGGCGTCCTGGCGAAGCATCTGGCCGACAACGCCCTGCAGCGCGGGCCATTTCCATTCGGGGCACTTGTAGTCGTCCACGCCAGCGCCGCCAATCTTCGCGAACGCGCCCTCCAGCGCCGTGATGTAGTCCCAGCCCTTGATGTCGAATGCTTCCACTTGGTCCCAGCAGCCGCCCGTGTAGTAGAAGCACCCCTTCGAATGCGCCCGCCAGCGATCGCCCTCGATGATGAGGAGCATGGTGAGGCGGTGGTGGTTGGAGAGAGCGTAGTTGGAGATGGGTGCCTCGCTCAGGTATCGCACCAAACCGGCGAGGATCCTCTTGTCTTTCGGCAAGTCCGCAAAGTCATTCGCCACCTTATCCATTATCTCCCTGGCCGTTTTCATGGGGTCCTTCGTGACGGCCTCAACCACCGCGGGGGCCTCTGGAGCCTCTGCAGGCCGCGCCATTCCCAGCGTAGACAACCCATCACCCGAAGAACCGGCAGTCGACGCGAAGAGCAAGCTCTTGACGAAGTCCGCGTTGGTCTTCTGGCGCTTCTCGGGCGGCTCCTCGTCGGCGCGGGTATCGCTCTTCAGGCTGTCGCCAATCATCTGCGAGAGTGCTCGGTCGATACTGTCATCGGAGGGCGCGCTGGCTGTCGCAGCGGGCGGTCGCAGCGCGTTCCCCCCGCGCAGGAACTTCAGGTGGCCATGGTCGGGGATCTCTGGCAACTTCTCGCGGTCCACGAACTCCCAGAACAAGTTCGGTGGAAGACAGGACTGCTTCACGAGCTTCGACGGCACCTGATATGTACCAGATACGTTCGTCCAGGCCGCCAGCTGCATGTCACCGTTGATTTCCACCTCGCCAGCGAAGATCACAGGCATCATTGCCGCCAGGCCCGCGTGTCCACAAGCTTCCCCCATCGCAGCGGGCTCTGCGTCGAGCATGCGCAAGAAGTCCTCGCCCCAGCACTTCACCACAGCGTACGTTCCAGGGCGTAGGTTCACGTTCTCGAAGTCCTGGAAGTCGTGCCACAGCAACTGCTCCGCCTGCGGGTCGCGCGGGTCGCTGCATTTCATCGCTGAGAGGCTCGCGCCCTGCACTTTGAGCTGAATCATGGCGAGGCCCGTGTTGGTCATGGGCGCGTGCGCCCCCTGCTCGATCATCTGCTGTTGGTTCATCATGGGGTCAGCCATGCGCTTCTCCAGGGTCGTGATCAGCTTGGGGGCCTGATGTTCGCATTTGGTATATGTTTCTTTTTTGTGTGTTATTATATGTTTTGGTGAGGGGCCTGCTGGGCGGACGCCATACTTGAGAGTATAGTCAACGTAGGTGGGGCCGTCCCAACGCAACGAAGAGTACTCAGGTAGAGTTGCTTGCTTGAGCCACAAACGCCTGCGCGTGAGAGCGCGAAGGAGGAAGAGGGGCAGGGGCTGTCGAGAGAGGGGGAAGAGGGAGGGGCGAGGAGCGAGGGAGGACGGAGGAGGGAAGGAGAGAGTATGAAGAGGAGGATTAAAGAAGAGAGGAACTAGGAGGAAGGATGACCTCGTTCAGGCTCTTGCCTGGTTGCACGCTCAGACGGCCATTGTTCGCAGCAGCGGGTTCCTCGCACCAGCACTCTCCTCGGGCCACCAGCTTTGTCTCTTCGAGTGGCACAGCATGCGGTCTTCAGCGGTCTTGCATGTGTAAGGAGGGAGAGGGCGAGAAGAGGGAGGAGCAGAGAGGGGGGATGGGGAGGAAGGAGAGAAGGGGAGGAGGAGGAAAGGGGAAAGGGGAGGCAGAAGGGCAGGAAGGAGAGGGGGAGGAGGAAGAGGGAAGAGGGGGAATGGGAAATGGTGAGGCAGGTCCCACACCAGACCAAACACCATACCAGAGACCATACCAGACCAAAGACCAGACCAAAGACCAGACCTGACCAAAGCCCAGACCAGACAACAGACCAGACCAAAGGCCAGACCAGACCAAAGACCAGACGAAAGACCAGACCGAAGACCAGACCAACGACCAGACTAGACCAAAGACCAGACCAGACCAAAGACCAGACCAAAGACTGGACCAGACCAAAGACCAGACCAGACCAAAGACTGGACCAGACCAAAGACCAGACCAGACCAAAGACCAGACCAGACCAAAGGCCAGACCAGACCAATGACCAGACTAAAGACCAGACCATACCAGGACATAAAACACATGTGAGCCGCAGCGCGCGCAGCCGCATCAGTTTTCCTCATTGGCTGTGAAAGGTCCTCACGGAGAAGCAGAACGTTCTGGGGATGCAAAAGCCCAGTCAACGCCATCGAATTCGTCAGAGCAACGATCGGGAGACGCATCGGGAGACGCCTCTTCCCAAATCGCCTCTACCTCTCCTGAATTATGGTGCCCGCGCGAGCTCACCACAGTCTCGCGCATTCCATGTGAGCTCGCCCCCCTGCTATGGTATGAACTCGAAGCCACCACCACCGCACTAGACGGACCTATCCCCGCCGACGCGTCCACGCAGCGCTGCGCGTGCGCACACTGAATCTTTATGGAGCTCTCGCGGCGGGCTTGCACAGCGACGCCACGAACAGGACGATTATTGCGCTCTCTCCTGAGGTCCAACACCCACTGCTTCGACCCAGCACCCACAGAAGAGGCACTGGCCTCAAGCACGCGCTTGCGAGCATAGCGCTCGCGTTTTTTCCTGTTCTTCTCGCGGCGCGCCTCCAAGACCTCCTCGAGCGTCCGCTCTTTACGAGGGCGCCCTTTCGGAGCCATCTGTAAACGTGCACGGATGGACCTTGAGGCAAAACATGCTACGGAAGCGCTGGAGCATGCGATGCTGCTCCGCTGGCGGTGCCCCCTCACCCACTCGGACATCAAGAGCGAAATAAGCCGTGCGCAAGGCCAAAAACAACACTTGTGAGGGCACGCTCCCGCCAGCATCCGCCAACCGCATCGGAACGACTAACCAATGCCCTCCAAGACATTGCATCAGAATTCCCACACAAACTCTATCTGAGGGCAAGCTTCCGCCAGCTTCCGCAAGCATCAGAATTCTCAGCCCAAGTTGCACTCCCTCGCATTCCACTCCACTTCGTCGTTATCTTCCTCCTCCCCCCTCCTCCTCCACCTCCCCCGCTCCCCTATGCTAATTCCAAGCTTCCGCCAGCTTCCGCAAGCATCAGATTTCTCAGCCGAAGTTGCACTCCCACGCATCCCTCTCATTTCATATTTATCTTTCTCCTCCCTCCTCCTCACTCCTCCTCCTCCTCGTCCCTCCTCCCCCGCCCCCCATGCTAAGTCAAAGCTTCCGCCAGCTTCCGCAATCTACCTTCAGAGAATCGGAAGGTCCAAAAAAAAATGCCCCCCCGAGCATGGTCCTCGAAATTCCAGCCCCATGCCGTTTGGCACAGGGCTGGAGTTTCGAGAACCATGCTCGGGGGGGCATTTTTTGTTGTGGAGAGGCTGGCTGAATGATGGCATAGCTTAAGAGGGTAAGTAGATAGGGAGAGTGAGAGTCACAGAGCGAGAGAGAGAGAGAGTGAGAGAGAAGAGAGAGCAAGAAAGAGAAGATAAGGAGAATGATGAAGAGAAGGGTTCGAAAAGCCATAAAACCCCTCTGGAACCCCGAGGGGCTCCACAATCCCCCAGCCTCCATCCCTCACCCCTCATCCCTCCTCCTCCTCCTCCTCCTCCTCCTCCTCGTCCTCGTCCTCCTCCTCCTCCTCCTCCTCCTCCTCCTCCTCCTCCTGTTCCTCCTCTTCTTCCTCCCTCCTCCTCATCCTCCTCCTGCTCGTTATCGGGTGGGCGGGCGGCAGCCGCAACAGCAGCAGCAGGCGGCTCGATCCTCAGAACCGCGACGCTAGCTGCCCCGAAGAATTCCTCGGCGTGAGGCGGCAGCAAGGCCACGACAGGCAAGAGCGAGCGTGGCGCGCCTCGTGCTCCTCCCGCTGCTCTTCCTCACCGCCATACATCCCAATAGCATCGTCGTCATCATCAGCAGCAACATCTTCGACCTCCTCCTCCGCCTTCTCCTCCTCCTCCTCCATCATCATCATCATCATCAGCAGCAGCATCATCAGCATCAGCAGCAGCAGCACCAGCAGCAGCAGCAGAAACAGCAGCATGGTCATAATCATCAGCATCATCATTAGCAGCAGCAGCAGCAGCATCAGCATCATCAGCATCGTCATCACCATCACTATCATCATCATCATCATCATCATCACCACCACCACCACCACCACCACCACCACCACCACCACCATCATCATCATCATCATCATCATCATCATAATCATCATCCTCATCATCATCATCATCATCATCATCACCAGCATCAGCATCATCATCATCATCATCACCATCAGCATCATCATCATAATCACCATCATCACCAGCATCATCAGCATCAGCATCAGCAGCAGCAGCAGCATCAGCATCGTCATCATCACTTTCATCATCACCATCATCATCATCATCATCATCATCATCAGCATCATCATCAGCATCATCATAAACATCATCAACCTCATCAGCATCATCATCATCATCATCAGAAGCAGCATCAGCATCATCAGCAGCGGAAGCAGCCACATCGTCAGCATCATCAGCATCACAATCACCATCACCACCACCACCATCATCATCATCAGCATAATCATTCCCACCATCGTCAGCATCATCATCATCAGCAGCAGCATCATCACTATCACTATCACTATCACTATCAAACTCCCCATCGCACTCTCCATCACAATCATCACCATCATCAGCATCATCATCCTCACCATCATCATCATCATCATCGTCATCATCATCATCGTCATCAGACTCAAAATCAGCATCATCATCATCATCATCATCATCATCATCATCATCACCATCACCATCATCCTCATCCTCATGCTCGTCCTCGTCCTCGTCCTCGTCCTCGTCATTCGCAGATCATCACTCCATCATCAGCATCATCATCATCATCATCACCATCATCATCATCATCATCATCATCACTCATCATCATCATCATCATCATCATCATCATCATCATCATCACCATCACCATCATCCTCATCCTCATGCTCGTCCTCGTCCTCGTCCTCGTCCTCGTCCTCCTCATCCTCATCCTCATTCGCAGCTTCATCATAATCCTCCTCATCATGTTGTTCCTCCATGCCAGCATCAGCATCATCATCATCATCATCATCATCATCATCATCATCATCATCATCACCATCATCATCATCATCATCATCATCATCATCATCATCATCATCATCATCATCATCATCATCATCATCATCATCATCATCACTAAAACCACCATCCGTCCATCCATCCATACAAGCGTTTCGCTTGAGACGACCGCAACAAATCCTGCAAAACAAGCGTTTCGCTGGAGACATCCCCAACATACGAACATGTGTACTCTACCGTGTGTTTTATCGATCGGAATCTCGAAAACCAGCGTTTCGCTCGGAGGGTCCTCAACTGTTTAAGTCGCCGGCCCTACGCGACCTCGCTATTTATCGCAAAATAAACCCGCCGCTCCTACGCAAGTTGAGGCCCCGTACATGGTTTAAAGAACCCTGGGCCTGAGCCCTTTCAGGGAAAAATCCCAAACAATGCCGCCAAGAGGCCCCCGAGAGGCCCGCGAAGTGACCCCAAGAAGCCTTCCAAAGAGGCATCTTGTCCGCGACCCATCTTGCAGCACCACCAACCAACAGTGATGAGAGACGGGCTGGCGGAATGAGCGAAACGATTACCTATTGCATCAGTTACACGGGCGGAGCACAAGCATTGTTCAAGATAATGCCACTTCGCGCCGCGCACATTCACAAACAAGCTTGCAACAGTTACACGGGTGGAAGCAGTTTCTTTCTTAAATGGGGCTCTCGCCTCAGCGCCGCGCACATGTATCGTAAAAGAGCTTGCAACGGTTACACGGATGGATGGCGGCCACTTGGCAAATATGAATATCGCCTGAGCGCCGCGCAACACTCGTCTTAAGAGCTTTATGTGTATATAATAAATGAATGAATGAATAAATACACAACACACATGAAATATGTTATACTACTAATAATAACAACAACAACAACAACAACTGCAGCAACAATAAAAAAAAAAACAACAAAAACAATAATATTATAAAAAAAAAAAAAAAAAAAAAAAAAAAAAAAAAAAAAAAAAAAAAAAAAAAAAAAAAAAAAAA